TTTAATGTACAAAACATCTTGCTAGCTTTATTCAGCAGGCTTTAATATGATCGATTGGGTGTTTCAGGTGTACTGATTTTCTTAAAGTGAAAATACACACGAAATTACCTTACTAGAAATACATATGTTTTGCAGTTCACCTTGTTTTTGTTTATGACAGGATAGATTTCAGGGTAGAAACAAGGTTTCTGAGGGGGTAAAATAAGTAACCTTTTCTTTAATTCTTTTTTCTAAACACATGAGTACATTGCTTTTTAGGCTCACAGAAGTAGGATGATTGCTTTCAGAAAAAATAGTTTCATGTATTTTGTGATCTAGGTGCCCTGACATAATTCCAGAACTTAATTTCTGAACTGTCAAGAAGTCGAAAACTCTTCACGCTCTCGGAATCTTCCGCAGGCAGACTTCTTTGTCTTCCCTGATTTCATTCCAGATGTCAGAAAAGTAATTTGTGCTGTTGGCAGCTTCTTGTGCTGTCTGTACTGGTGTGGGGCTTTTTTTTGTTTATTCTGTTTTGTTTTCATTCCCAGCAACACACAGAGCAACTATGGAAGAAAAAAAACCCCAGCAGACAGCTGAACAACACTACTCTTATTTTGATAAGACCAGAAGTAATATCCCCATAACAGGAACTTTTTGTGCGTTCTCTGTGAAACATCCTGCCTTGCAAAATGGCAGCAGATCAACAGACCGGCAAACGCATTAGTTTTCACTTGGCATAATGAACAGATTCCTTTATAATTCTTTGAATTTGGATTTTCAATCTTTATGTTTGTATTTTCGGTCTTGGTGTTTCCTATAGTGTGTTACAGCAGTGTCAGGCAAAGGGTAAAAGAGTTAGAACAGGGACTAATACAGAAAGTATTTAAAAATATTTTGCAAGTCACCGGTAGGACCTAGGAACCTTAGCCCTAAATTGTTACCTTACATGTTTTACATGTAGCTGCTTCTCTATTCCAAAAGCTGAGTTGGTACCTTACGTTTTGGTCTGCAAGTTCATCAGATGTCTAAAGATCTTCAAACTCCTAAAGATGTACCTCTTCATGTTTAGAATTTTTACAGCTTTTTTGCCATTTCTTCTCCTCCAAAGCAGCTGTACACTGATCATTTAGATGCCATTTTCTGTTAACAAAGTTTCCAGAAGGATGCTTGGGGTTTGTAATTTGAATTTCAGACTTTGCGGAGGCAGGGGTTGTAGCAATCAAGAGTGACTCAAGGATATTCTTCGAGTGACAAACTTCTCCATAGGCAGTTCTAAAAACTGTCAAGCAAAACTGGATTATTTAGTTTTTTAAAAATGTAAATAAAAACATCCTTCCTTTTATCTTTCCTCCTCATCTTCTCTTTTAAATTTAGACTGCTCTTTACAGTACCCAGCCAGCTTGCTTCTCTGAAATGTTTTATAGATCTCTTGAAAGAGAAATCAGCAAGAGTCTAGCTGGCAGAGAGTGCCAGGGGCCGCAGATCTCCACTTGCAGTGCTGCAAGGGTGAATCCCTGCGTTATATAAATATAACTAGAATGCTGGTACCACAAAATGAAAAGTTGGAAAATTAGGTTTACGCCATATGGCTTTGCTATTACTTGAGAAAACTAAGATTGAAGTTAAGGGAAGCTCCAGAATCTACCTGAAAAGCTTTGAGAAAGTTGAGGATCACTGTCTAGGTGACAGAAGTCTGGAATCTTGGAGTGCACAGAAATTTGTGTTATTCTCTATGCTTGATGTGCTAAAAAACATCTACGCTAATGTAGGTGAATCTGGAAGTAACCTCAGCAAGACATGCAGTATACTCCAGGAAACAAATATGAATCACAGTTTACTGATGTGTGCGTGATTAATAAAATTGCACTAAGTTTGAGCATGGGAGTCGTGGACCCAATTGATTGCTACAGCTGTTTTCTCAGTCCAGCAAGCAGGGGCTATTCAGCTGTGCCCTTGTAATTTGTAATGTTTCGCTCCTTCACGTAATGCCATGCTCAGTAATGAGTCTGGACTTCGACTTAACATGATAGAATTTTTAGAAACCAGTCAGTGCTGTTTCAGAGAAGTTTCTGACTTGTTTTTGTGTGCCCAGGTCTTTACTGAGTTGTAAATTGGCTGAGACATCCATTTGGCTGTTCTTGCTTTTTTTTTTACAGGTTTGTTTTTTCTATGGTTAGTAGTATTTTCTGTAGTGTATCTTCAAAAGGGTCTATAAACTTCTTTAAACTTCTCTGTTAGCTCAGCAGCTGTCAGCTCTTGAGGAGTTCCTGGGCGTCTGTATATATTTTCCTTTTAAAGTCTGTTATTTCTATGTTGGGATCCTCCTTAAAGCTCTGTCTACAAATGACCTGCTTTTGGTTGACTAATTTTTGAAGAACTGTTCTTAGTTGTTCTCAGTTGATGTTCAGATAATTCTGGAGTCTTTTGAGTAGTCATCTCTCTCTCAGGCCTCCTGTATATTCATACAAGTTCAGAGACTTTATTTTTCATAGTCACAGTGCTGCATTAGGGTTATTTGACACTGTAACAGAAGCAGTTACTTCTCCATCCTCCTGCCTGATGATAGCTTGCTGTTCTCCCTAGCAAAGTCCCAGAGTAGGATTGTGTGTGTGGAGTTAGTGGTGTCTCTGCATTCCAGGAAGGGAGTTCGTAATGGCATTTTCATTGTGGAAACCTGGGCTTCATTATTGCTTTCCATTACTCACTCCACAGCAGCTGAAGTCCACCAAGGAGGGTCTTGGTGGGAGGTGGATGAAAGTAGACAGCTCCATCCCTACCTGCACTCCCCTGAATTCTCTTACATCACTCCTCTTGAAAATCTGATATTATTCCAATTAATTTGAGATATGTGTGGCTTTGTAGTGCTCATGTAAGTGCTCCGAAAGGTTCAAATGATCACATCAATTGATTTGTGGGGCATAGTGTTATGATTGTTTCAGGAAGCAAATCTGCATTGATAGGGATGACAAGTGGCAAATCTTTAGGAATGACTGGCATCATGACTACACTATTTCTGCAACATGGGTACAGAAACATCATATATGGACTTGCAGGAAGTTGCTGGAAGGGGCTGAAGTCATCCTAGGTCTCCCTACCTTAATTAGTGACTTGTGTCTGGGTTCTGCAAGACTTTGGATTTTCCTGGATTCAGTTTCTGATCTCTGCAGATGTGGGGTCTGGGACAGTGCTGCTTGGATAACTCTGTTTATTGCGGCTGATATATGCTCTTCTTGACCTCATGACTCTTGGCTAGTGTCTTGAATCACTTGAGAATAACTAATGCCTCAGCTCCCAGATCGTTCTCAGTTTTGCCTTCAGCCAACTGAATGTTCACCTTCCTTCACAGTTACAGGAAATTAAGATCTTCTGGGATAACATGAGTGCAGATGAGCAGTATGTTTGGTCTATGGGGAAATAATGTGAACAAAGAGAGATTACAGATAGTAAAAACAGACACGAATTTCAGAAGTAGTTCTTGTGATACTTTTCCCCCCTTCCCTCCAGTCTCAATTTTAAAGTGTATTGAATATTGTTGGCTGGTTTAGTGTAAACTTTCAAAAATTAGTGAAGAGTCATGCGGTAAATCAGGCTTTCACTGTATGTGGGATTGGCTGTACACTGTGCAGACGATGTGCACAGCAAATTTGCTATAACCCCTGTGGATATTCATAGCAAGGAAGGATATAAAGGGCTGTCATCCATCAACAGTTAACTGCTGCAAATGAGTTAATGCAATCTTTTGCCATCAATAAAACATTAGAAAGAAAGCACAAATAGTCAGGACAAAAGAGGAGTTTAAAGAAGTAGAAAATCCACATCACTGTAGAGAGTGATATGAAACATACAATATGCTGGCAATGTTCCAAACTTAATTCTGTTTATGGCCTGGATAACTAGATTTGTCTCTTCTGTAATAAAAATGTGTAATGCCAGTTACATAGTTCTCTTCACAAGAGAAAGGATCACTGCTTGGGAATGAAAATGTTTTAACTCCCAGCAGAGAGGAAAAAAAGGGGTGCTGTGACTGCTGTCCTTCCACACAAGGGTTATTTATTGCCTTTCTTATGGAATTTGCATCATGCCAGAATTTAGATGAGTTCCTGTACAGCTTACAGTGCACAGTGACTTGAAGCTAAACGGTTATGAATGACATGACATATGTGCACTTGTGGTGCCAGTTCATAATGACTAAAGAATATGCATGTCTGCATGAAGAATTATCAATGTAACATTTTAGTCTCCAGTGTGTAGATATTTTCAGTACCAAGTCTTTGTAATGGAATGAATTCATAAAAATGAATTCTGTCCTTTGTATCTGAAATGTGATTTATTTCTTTTGGAACGACTTACTGTACATCTTTTCTTCTTCTTGTTTCCAATTCTTGAATGTGAAATATAGAAAGGACTTAATCTTCTGCTGTTTCATTAGTGATGTTACTAAATTCGCATTTGATCTCCAAGAATGAGGTTCTTTGGGAGGAAAGAGAGAACATTGTCATTAAGCAAAATCAGGTGCAGCTGACTGTTGTTAAAGCCAATTTAATTTACGGAAGGTTTGGTTATTAGTAAATCGGAAACCTTAGTTGTGGTTACTGTGGTAGAAGTGACATTTCATAATAGTATCTCCTGACTAGTTTAACTTTAGAAATTTGTGGCTTATTTTAACTTGTCTTGTAGTCAATTTGTAAATTATTAGAGCAAGAATTTGAAAATGGCTCATTTTGCTCTTGCCTGATTGTATTGTGAGTCTAGGGTAGAATGTTCAGTTTCCCAGTTTCATTAATATTTCACTATTTAACTCTTTTTAACACTATATAGATAGGTTTTATATCATATTAGGATGACAGGACTACTAAATACTTCATAAGTAAAATACTTGGTTTAGATTCTGAGTAATATACTGATGTGGCTCTATATCCAAAGTATAAGAAATTTAGGAAACAAATTATAAGCATAAAATGCCAAAAGTTGAAGTCTTCCTGAAATAACTTTTTCCTTATTTCTCTTGTTTCATGCAGGCTTTCCTTCACCGAATGATCCAATGTGCTACAGCCAAAGCAGACAAAAATGTCACAGAAGAGACAGTTAAGGTTAGTCTCATAATTGCAGATTTCTTCTGTAGTCTCATAATTGCATATTTCTTCTGTTTTTTGCCTGATGATTTATTTATGTATGTTTTATTCTTTTGCAGATGTTGTTTTCAAATATTGAAGATATTCTTGCAGTTCACAAAAACTTCCTTTCCCTGGTGGAGGAGTGCTTACAGCCAGAACCTAATGCGCAGCATGAAGTTGGAACCTGCTTTCTTCATTATGTAGGCTATATTTCACTTTTTTCCTTTATTAGTTGTCTTTATTAATTACATCATGATGAGTGTACATAGTCATGAGGACAAAATATGACTTGATTGCATAGTTTCAAAAAAATAGAGAGGGAAGGAGAATGAAGAAGTAAAGTCTCAAATGGGCAGAATTTTATTGTATCGTCATCTGTATATTCACCAAATCAGCCCAGGCTGGCAAACAGCCCTGCAGCATAGGCAAGGCTGGTGCCTATGCACGGGGTGGAGGTACAAGGACCAGGGTTGCATGAAACAGCAAAAATAATAATATGCTTTTTTTTTTATTTCACTTTGATGCTAGGCAAAAATGTGAATAAAAAAGAATTGCGTATGCTGGGTAAAATATCTCCATGGTTCTGGGCTGTGAAGATATTTTACTTCTGACAACTGCAGTACCTCCACAAGTATGTTTATATGTCCTGTAGAAATTGTTTTCTTGGAGTATTATTTTTCCTGTTGGAGCAAAACAGGATGTCAGTGTTCAAGAGCTCTGCAAAATCAGGACAAGTTAGTTTGCTTTCAGTTGCAGGCCTAACAAAGTCTAGGTTTCATTGCTACCACTGGTTAGAGTCCCATTTGTTTGCTAAGTCTTTGTTTATTCGTTGTGGGAGGAGAAAATGATTAATGGTTTGTGGAAACATATTACCGAAGTTGAGCAACATCAGTTTTTGACTGCAGTAGTATGGATTATATTTGCAAGCAAGTGTTTGCAGACAAAATAGGTGATGTCAGAAAATAAGCCACTCTGTGCATTTCCTTCCTGGGTTTCTCCTTTTTACAAGGACTCACATGGAAAATGCGAGCAGAGATGGGTACAAGTTAATCCTGGGAAGGTTACAGTTGGATAATAGGAAAATTTTTCACAATGAGAACAATCAACCATTAGAATAATCCCCCCAGGGAAGCAGTGGATTCCCCAGCACTGGACACTTTAAGATTTGGTTGGGCAGGGTGCTGGGCCATCTTGTCTAGACGGTGCTTTTGCCAAGGAAGGTTGGACCAGATGGTCCCTGAGGTCCCTTTCAACCTGGTGTTCTATGATTGAAATTCTCCAGTGATGCTTCCAGACTGTTCATAATTCTAATTTGAGGCTGGACCTCAGATAATAAACATAGAAAGAGCTGGCCTTCCAAAATGAAGACTATATTAGCTATTCAGTTTCTGAAAAATGTTGATTTCATGTTTTATTAATTACAAAAAGCCTCAAAATGGCAAGTGAAGAACAGTGTATTTCTTTGTTTCTGCAGAAAGAGAAGTTCCGTATTTATGATGAATACTGCAGTAACCACGAGAAGGCACAGAAGGTTCTCCTTGACCTTAACAAAATAAGAACAGTGCGGACCTTTCTTTTGGTAAATAAACTTTTAACTGGTGTTCTAACTTAATATTTTTGACCAGGCAGTGAATTGTTAGTACTGTCGCATCCCCCATGTAACAAGCACTCCTGCAAGTGGTTAGCAGGCAGTTTCAGCTGGGGGTGGTGTTTCCAGAGGAAGGGGTTGTGTACATCGTATTTTCACTGTTGCTTTGGATCCATGCAAAATAAAGCATTAGGCAGCGTGCCTTGATCCAGTTCTTGCATTTTGGAACTGGAGAGCAAATGACAGTATCAGCAAAGCATCACAGATATGGTGAAAAAAAAGATTATGCCAGTGGTGGCAGTATCACAAGGTTTACTTATTTGTCTTAATTATTTTCAGCATGCAGTAAGCTTTCACTACTGCTGACAGAGTTCTTGGTGAACTTGACGTATTGCAGGTCACTACATTTTTGAGATACTGGATCTGGATCCCAAGTTGCATTTACTTACAGCCAAGTTAATGAGCAGTGTGCAAATTTCCTTATGTAGGGGAGTAGTGGGTGACATGAAATGCCATCTGCCGTTTTGCTGAGAGTCTGTTACTCAGCAGTGTTCCATTCATAGCTGAAAACGGTTTCAAAGGTGTCCTGTTTTTCTTTAGTGGTTGACACAGCGTCCTTTACCTTGCCCCAGATTGATGAGCTTTGCATACATGGTTCTTTTACTTGGGAGCAACCTGGCCAGTCTCAAGAAGAAGGGGTGAATACTGACTACAGAGACAAAATACTCCAGAGAAAGATTGCAAAAAGCATCTTTTGTGAGAAAGGAAGTGAAGTGTGCAGTTGTGGCAGTTCATGATGTGTCAATGTCCTGTACTCCGGGGCACATGCACAGGGCTTTCACGTCTGCTTTGGGTTTCTCATAGATTCAAGACATGGCAGTAGCATAAGTGGCAGCAGTCTAACCTAGAGAATAGGGGGTCTGACTGTGTGATGAAAGTACAGTTGAAGCTTTCTAGCCAGACAGGACAGTTCAGGTCATTAGAGGTGTCATTATCTATAAATAATGGGGAGCTGAAACTAGACTTCTGAGCCTTTAAGTATAGAGACAGTCATTATATAAACCTATAGTCTGCATTGCTGCCATCTTGCTCAGTCTTTTATCAGTAAAGTTTTTTTGTTGGCAGGTTAAGTGAGATCCTTTAGGATAAAGGATCCTTTAGGATAAGACAGAAGCTGGTTAACTGTGAGTACAAAGCAGAGACTCAAGGGTGGGTGTAGAAATCCCCGCAGCAGCACTGGTTATGGGGTATGTATGCTGCGAGTTACATGCTTAGTGGAGCAGCCACCCAGTTTTGTAGTCCCTGTTCTATCAACAGTATGTCTGCATCCACATTTGTGGCCTGCATCAACACACCATCTGGCTGTGTTGAATTACTTTTGTTTAACAGTTGATGTCTGAGTTTAGACATCTTGTACTTTGAAGCTGTAGATTATCTCATACCATTGCATCACAATTCCTTCTGATCTCTCAGTAAAATAATTTTCATCATTACTTTAGGTCTTTATGTACTCACAGTTTAATTACAGCAGTTCCCAATATTTGCTGTGATGTCCCTTGCGTGCTTTGTTATCCCAGCTAGCCCTTATTCTTTTCTCTCTTTCTCTCTGCTGCTTTTTCGTGGGTGCTTCCATTATCCCAGCTAGCCCTTATTCTTTTCTCTCTCTGCTGCTTTTTCGTGGGTGCTTCCGCACAATATTTCATGTATTCCCTGCTCCCATAGTTGGGTGTCTTGTGAAAGTTTACATGTATTTTAGCCCATGACTAAGGATATTTTGTTCATTGCCTATCACGTTTAACTATAGAAGCATGTAAACAGAACACTTTTTTGGAGGGTGTATATAAGGATGGCCAGGTTCAAGCCTTCCAAACCATCTTTGATGCTACTTAATATTGTGAACACACCTTTTACAAGCAACAGCACCTAGAGTGGTCACCCTAAATGATTTTTATTTTTGTTTGTTGAAGTATGAAAGCATATTTTTGGCATTTTATTCACCATCTTTTATTTTTAAACTTTAAAAAAAAGCCCTCTCTTAGTCAGACTGAGTGAAGAAGGTACCTAGGGCAGATGCCTGCTTAATTCCATTGTGGCTTCCTTGTCATGTATGATAGTCAATGTACGTGCCTGCGCATGTGTTCAGGCCTGTTCTTTTGATGGTTTTGCAAACCTCCCTTATTATGTACAGCTTCGCCAATGTTGCGGTGTACGTATGCCCTTGTCTTTATTTCTGATAATTTTCTCAGGTTTTTTTAGTAATTTATGAAACTGTTCACACTCTAGAATTGCATGCTTCTTGGAGGACGCAAGAACACAGATGTACCATTGGAGGGATATCTGGTAACACCGATACAGAGAATATGCAAGTATCCCCTTCTTTTGAAGGTACTTTCAAGATTTTTTTATCTAGGACTTTAAAGTTTCTGTACAAAACTGGTTGCTAAGCATATTTCTGTACAGCAGGAACAATCTCTCTACACAGTGAATAATCTCTTTATTAGATATTGGACCCAGACATGCTCTCATTAAAACTAGTGGCAAGTCTTCTGACATCAGTATTAAAAGAACTGAGGAGTTTGGCTGGGTCAAGATGATTAGCTTCCTTCTGCATGTAGTTGTAAAATTGCCTCTCCATTGTTGAACAGAAGTGAGCCATTTAAAGGGAGTTGAATGAGACTGATTTCAGCTGGCTTTGACCATGGCCTTGAAATGCTTGGGCTAGCAGAGTTGTTAGTGATGTGCTTTGATGATTCTAATTTACCATGAGCAAACTGTAAATGAAAAATATTTATTAAAATTATTTGTAAGAAAACTCTAGAGTAATGGTAAGATGCTGTAGGTGGTTCTATGCACATTTCTGTGTTTATTCTTTTATTACTCTTACAATTTAAAACCTAATGAAAAATGTGGAATGTGCTGATAATCATTAGATCTTCAAAACTGAGTTACTGATTTTTTTCCATGTTAGGAAACAAAATAATACAATCATCATTAAAGTAAATATTTAAAACAATTTTTTGCTTAACAAATTGGGGCCTAATGTTGTTGTTTGTTTCAAACCATGAAAGAAAAGGCAGAGCAGATTTTGCTTTAGAACCTACTGAAACCTGATTATTGGGCAGTGTTTTTCACAATGCATGTGTGACTTTAGATCTGAAACAATGCCAGTTATGAGCCATATTCATTTCATTGCACTGACATAAAAACCTAACAGTAAACATGTTCAAATAAAGGTTTTTAAAACAAGTTAAAGATTATGATAATTGCAATGACATTTGATTCATCACAGATATCTGTGGTTTTACAGTTCCCTTGGCCTATTTTAAAATTATTTTTATATTCTATTTTTTGAATGAAGGATCTGAAGACAAACAGGGGAAAATGACTAATGAATTACTCTAGGGGACAATGAAATGAATATATTTATGTTAAATAAATTTAAATACAGGGTGTGGTGGCAGCAGGGTTAGGGCTCCAGAGGAATGTACCCATGTCTCAGTCAGGGTATGTGGTGAAGGCTTACACACAAAGTCAGTCCAGCTGTAAATGGGTAGTTGGTAGTTTGAGACAGGAAATCTCAAATGAATACTGGCAACTCCACTTCTGTGTGTAGTGTGACTGCCATTACCAGTAACCACCTGAAATCAGTGAGTCACCTAAGCTGTTCAGTGCTGTGGTATATTGCACTACATTAAACAATAGTGTGGCGCTAAAGGAACATGGGTTTTACCGAGAGTTGCAGGAGAGGTAGGTGCTAACTTTGAATAAATGAATAACATGAATAAACTAACATTTTTAAGGAGAATTGTTACTGTTACTGTTGAACGGTTCTATCCTGTGGCATATAAAAAAAGCCAACAAAAAAAATCAAACCCCGAACCAAAGCTCAACATGAAGAAATGTTGCTGGGGTGAGAAAGTAGCTGAAAGGCAAACTAAGTACTAATTTCTAAGTACTGATTATTTTTACTGTTGGTAATTTATTTCTCTGAGTTTTAGTGTCCTACTAGGATGCAGTGCTGGAGGGTTTATTATTTTTCCACTTAGTAGAATAGAAGTCTGCCTACTTCTTGATTTTTGTATCCTAGTCAATTTAAGCATCCTGTAACGTACATGTAGAGATCAAAGACAGGTTTCTCTTTTCTTTTCTTTTTTTTTTTTTTTTTTAATATCTAAATAGGAGTTACTGAAGCGGACTCCAAGGAAGCACAGTGACTATGCAGCACTAATGGAAGCCCTCCAGGCCATGAAAGCTGTCTGTTCCAATATAAATGAAGCCAAGAGGCAAATGGAAAAATTAGAGTTTTTGGAAGAATGGCAGTCTCATGTGGAAGGATGGGAGGTACTATTGTAGATTTGTTGCTTTGTATATTAAGGAGGGAATAACAGTTTTCAACAGCATGTATTGCACTGTTTTTGTGATCCTGAGATACTGTCAGCTCCTCAATTCTATGAAACACAGCTTTCATTTGGGTTCTACTCTGTAAAGTCAGTGTTGTCCATGACTGAGCACCACTGTATAAAACAACAGACTTCCAGGAGAGAGGGCGGTGTTTGGTGTTTGACTTGAAATATTGATCATTTACATCAACATGTATGTGTGCACACATGCACATCTATAAATCCTAATTTAACTGCTGCCGTGATTTTACTGCTGTCAGTGCCTGCCTAGCAGCATTGTGTGGTTGAAAAAAAGATTTTGATTATTTATTATTGATTAAGCACTGAGTCCATAAGTGTTTGTCAGCTTGCAGGTAGTCCCTTACTGTTGGCTGAGCTAAACTAACGTGTTCAAGAGAATCTGTGTAAGACTTGGTTTTGGCTTTATTTATTTATTTCAGTTTTCAAATGGAAGAGCTTTAATGCTTTAGTTCTGTGAAGAAACCATAGGCCTAGTGTTTTCAACAGTATCCAGAAGAGCCACCATCTCCCTTAGACAACTGCAAGATCAAGTAGTTGTAGCACCACAATCTTCCTGTTGTATTATTTTGAGCACTGTAATTAGCTTATACAGAAAGATAAACGTGGATATTTGTGTATCTTTGATTTGCCTTAGGTGTTTTGTATTGAAACATCTGAGCTGCTCACACTGAAGTGGGAGTGAAGTTCATATATAAGAAATACAAAGCAAGCAATGTAAATAATTTTTTAATAAGTCAGTATTGAACATAATACACAGGACTACTTAAATAAAGTAAACTTCTAAACACTGTAATTGAAAGTCTGGTTGAGCTAACACTTTCCAAAAGAAACAAATACCTTAGCAGCTGCTTATTTAGACTAGGTGAAAGTAAGTTTCTTTTTGTTAGCTTGAACTTACTGTCATCAGCAGTAACTTGGAAAGATTAGTGTGTGTGAACATTAAAATGCGTTAGACATGCTCGTACAATATTGCTTAATATTATATGGCAAGGAAATTTGTTAAATAATACTTATTGCCTGTTACCGACTCTACTATTATTTTGAACTTTCAAGTAAGTTTTCTGCTGTGCTGTAGTGATTAAGATTCTTGTAATTGCCTTCAGTGCCTGAGTCTTACAGATGCTTGTCAAATCCGTCTTCATACACTCAAGTGTAAAGTTACAGCATTACTAACTCAGTGTGTTATTAGTCATATAAGTTGGTTAAGAACTGACTGTTCTCACATCTCTGAAAAGGGAATCCACTTTTCTACATTCAGTTTCTTCTGAATCATTAATAAAACTTGAAGTAATAAATATGTTTGCTGTTGGAAATATATTAATGAGCAAAAGTAACAGTAAGGAAGAGTAAAAATATAGACAGAAGTGTGTGAAACATAGACTTATGCTGTCTGTATTCAGAGTGTATTCTGTGAACCATAATACAGTAATTTCCTTCCAACCTTGTTTGTTTGTTTTTTCTTATTTTCTTCTCCAAATTTAATCTCAGGATTTCACTTGTGCTTCATCTCTGTAAAAGTGCCATTGTCTTAAAATAGATTTTTTTCAGTACAGTTATGTTGTGTTTATTGTGGTTTAGCTGATCAGGTTTGATGTTATCACATGGCAACCACAGGGTGCCCAGTCTGGCAAAATGGCCCTGATCTTCATACGTGCATCCTTTTTCAAACATACTATACGGTTAGTTGTTGAAATGGTAAAAATCATGTATAAGAGCATGTTTTAGAGCTTTTCTGAATGATTCCCAACAACAACTACAAGAAAATCTTTGAATGCAATGTACAAGAGTGGATTTAATTAAATAAACATCTGGTTTTCTGCATCGCCTAAAAATAAAGAGGCAAACTTGCTGGAGATTTCCTTCCAGAAGGAAATGCTTAGCACATTGCTTGGCCCCAACTAGGAGGAAAGGGGGGAAAAAAAAGACTATTTTTAGAATCTGATCAAAGCATGACTTGAATTCCTATACATAAGTGTCATAAAATGAAGCTTGTGTTTATTATGATAAAAATACAGATTCATGGAAAAATGGAACATCTGTTTCAAGAAAGAAAATTTTGAGCATAATGACTGTCACTTAATTTCCTAAGTGGTTAAATTTATTGGCCTGAATTCAAAACTTGTGTAGGTGGCTGTCTCAGCTGGAGAATGGCTCAGCAGCTGAAGGAGTCTGTCAGGAAAATCTGTGTGGATGTTTCAGTGAGAGAATTAAAAAATAAAATTGTTGCATTTGTTGTAAGCTGGAAACCGAACAACCCAGTCTGAGTCACAGGCCAACTTAGTGACAATAGCATGGGGTGTTCTGTGCCTTTCCATTGTGCCGTATCATGAAGTAGGATTTTAATAGAGATTTCTGTTTAAAATTCTAGATATTTTAGACCTTTTCTGTATTATGTTTCTGTTTCCTATACCCATGTGCAAGTACTGAACGTACTGAAGAGTACATTAATATCTGTAATTTCTGACTTTTGTCACTGTTAATGTGCTAGCCACTGAGTCAGTATGGTCAGACTTTCATGTTTGACTGAATTTTGGCCAGAATATGTAGGCAGGTAGCTTTTTTTACAAAACCAATAAATGCTGCTTTTCTTCCCAAGGTAATAAAGCTCATTTTTTGATGTCCATGATGGGTATTTCATGATTAAAGGATGAGTGGCGATATTGTTCCAAATTTCTTGGATATAGTCTCTCCTTCCAGTGCATTTTAAAGGCATTTATTTTGTGTGGTAGCCCACATTTCAGACATCTTGCCTGAGGTATTGCTGTGGTGGAATGATAGGTGACTGAATGGCAGCTGGAGGTTCTTAGAAGCCAGTTTTACCTAAGTAGCGTGAAGGCTCTGAGATTTTGTGGGCTTTTAATTTCCACACCAGCTAGCCTGAAAAAACACAGAGCCCTTGGCCCCAATGCTGTCCACAGGAGAGGGCTGACCTACAGCTAGGTGTTTGGAGTCTTCAGTGGCTCAGTAGGATAGAAGGAGGAAAATCTAGTTTAGATTCACAGTATAAGCCTGTATAGCTTTTTCCAACAGAGTTTTTTATATGTTGGGTTTGTTTTGCTCTAATTGCAGGTACTTTAAATGCACAGAAACATGAATTGTAGCATAGTAGTAGAGATTTTGCATTTAGGTTGAGCAACTATGTGATCTTCCCTTACAAACACTGAGTAAAAAATGTACATACTCACGAAAACTTTGAAATAGCAAATTGCTTTTCAGGTTCAAATTGCTTATATTTGACATTTCCCTGGTAGTTTCAATACAAACATTTAATGAAAACATGGTTGTGTTAGATGTTTTTGGTAATATTTTTTCCAAAAGTATTGCTCATAGATAGTGTAGTTCAATTTTAGCCTCATGTGCTTCTGGGACAAGGTGACTTCTTCTCTGTTACTGAAGCCTTGAACCGTCTACCATGAGAAGGATAGCTCAGAGTTAGATAAGTGAATTATCCTACTGGGCTGAACATCAACTATAGCTTGGTGTTCCTGCTGTAAACCTGCATGGAGGTTCAAGGTGTAGCAACATCCTTCATGAAAACATTATTAATAGTTGTTAGTCCTCCTTTGAACTGCATGATGGATATGGCAGTGCTTGTGTGCCCTCTGCTTTATTCTTCTTTGGGCATGTTTTTCATCTCTAAGGAGTTGGTAGAGAGGAGGTGTAGAGACAGCAGTGCTTTCACAGGATATGCCCTTCCTCTTTTCTCCCACCCTGCCCATGTCTAGGAAAACACTGAGCCTAACAGTTTTCCATAGGCAAGAGGGTGGCAGGGGACTTTTCTGCACTAGCAGTGTTATGTAGGACTGCCAGATGTGACTTATGATCATCTTACCTTATACCCTTGGAAATAAAACAGCAATAATAAAATCCACTGACCTGTGGCCACACCAGCATGGGTTGTGATCTTGTCAAAAGGTATTGGATAAGTGAAGTTAACACTGTTCAGTATTTGGACGGGAGGTCTCTGAGGGGAAAAAAGTGTCTCTAGGATGTTTTTTTCATCATCTGGCAAAAGGGAAGTAAAGAGGAAAACAATAGCAAAGGGTAGTAATGTGATACAGATAATACTGCTGTATTGTAACGTTGAACTTGAATCACGATTGAGGCGAATCTTGATAATTCAAGTAGCCTGAATTATAGATGTTGGAAATATGTATAAAACACAGTATTTTGTAACATGGTGCTGGCACAGTAGCAAATCTTGCAAGGACTGTGGGGAAAAGGTATTTTTCTACAGTGAAAATGAACACTTTAAATAAAAAGAGACAAAATTTTTCATAAAAACCTCTCTGTGAAAAAATATACCCTTTTGTAGAAAGCTGAAACTGCTTATACAATTTTGAAGCCTTAAGCTGATGCTTTTTGTCTTCCCTACAAAAAATTACAATTTCCCAGCAAAGCTGAAGTTTTCTGTAAAAACAAACCGAAAATCTTTAAAAAATACCCAGCCTTTTAAAATGCTAATTATTAGTAATATTCCAGCAAATTTTAAAAGCAGTGTAAAGTGCTAATGGTTTAAAACTAAAAGAGGGGAGATTAGGCTGGACATGAGGAAAATATTCTTTACAATGAGGGTGGTAAAACACTGGCACAGGTTGTCCAGAGAGGTGGCAGATGCACCATCCCTGGAGACATTCAAGGCCAGGCTGGATGTGGTTCTGGGCATCCTGATATAGTTGAAGAGTCCCTGCACGTTGCATGAGGGTTGGACTACATGACCTTTGAAGGTCCCTTCAACCCATACTACTCTATGATACTATGATTTTACGTGCCTACTCATCGCAGAGGGTTTGGACTAGATGACCTTTTAAAGTCCCTTCCAATCCAAACTATTCTGTGGTTCTGTGATTCTGTGGTACTGTTTATTCTACTTAATACACAAAAGCAATGAAATAGGATGGAATGTAAAAACCTGCTTTTCTGTAGTTGTGGTCAGCAAGCATTAAGTGCTTTGTTAAATTATGCTGAACTTGTATTACTGAGTAGTCTTTTAAGGTGTTTCAGTGATCGGTCTCAAATAAAACTGTGAAATTAGTATGCCAGCTTCTGGTACTGATGCTGCCCTAGGAAGGAAAGTATGATGTACTGGCTATAGATGATGTTCATTTTTGGCTCATTTGATCCTAAATGGAAACAAGAGTGGTTAGTTAATACTAATACTGAAGCTGCTCTATTTAGAGACCTGAATTATGTTCCTGTGATGGTTCTGCAATCTTTCTTATCGTCTCTGTAAACAGACTGCATTCTCCTTACAACAGCCTGAGCTATTGCTCAATATTCAGGGCTGTGACACACAAAGGATGAATAATAAGATGAAGAGCTGAGAGCAGAACCCGTGATTGCTTCTTGGCTCTTAATTAAGTCCATTTTTCTTTGGGCTACTGTGGTTAGATAAAGAAGAGGAAGTAACTACAGCTATTGCAGGCATAAGTCTTTCAGAACGTGTAGATGAAAGGAAAGTCCTGGCTCTTTCAGGTTTTCCAAGCTGACTGTTGACTGCCTCAAGTTAGGAAACTCTTTGAGCCATGGGTGTACGCTCAATGCAGCCAGCAAGCATAATTATCAATAGGATTGCATGGCTGGATTTATACAGTACATGGATAGGAACTCTGTCCCACAGGAGCACAGATTTTCAGGATAGCAAAATACACCTCTGAGTTCAAGGCAGGCTTCCTTGAGAGGTGAATTTTTCTTTATAAGGCATAGAAATTCCATGACATTTTCAGAGAAATATTTTGGGAAAATGTTATCCTTTGTTAAAGTTGCTTCTTTTTCATTAATCTTTATGAAAATGCCTGCCTTCTTTACACACGAAAGAATGATCTGCCTTGCGTCAAAAGTGGGTAGTTTCATCCTAAACATGTAAAGCTTAGCAAAATTCCAGTGTCTTCAGTGTATATTAGGAGGAAGTACACTAGGCAGTCTTACTTGTATGTGCCACTGTTAGCTTTACCTGAGTTTTAAATCTTGCTGTATTTGGTTTTGTGGTTAGCTTAACTTCGTGTAGAAGTATATTATCTTAATGATGTTCAAGTTCCAGGTTGCTTCAGCTTCCAAGTTCATCTTGGATTAGATTATGTCTTGTAAAGCCCCATATTCAGATGTTTCTGACTACCTAGTAAAGTTACTGAGGATAAGAATTATTGTATGAAGCTGGCCTGATTTTTCAGGAGGAGTCTCACATCCAGATGTATTTGGAAACTTTAGTGATTAAATTTAATCCATTCAAAAAAGCCACAAGCCCTCCAATTAGCACCAGTCCTAAATTAATACAAAACTGGTGTTAAGCATCATTAGAAATCATTATTTAATTACAATGTAATAAACTGCCATTAGTGTTATTCTTGGTGTTTCCAGAGAATCATTATGGCTGTGTGTTTGTATAGGAAACTTTTTCTTAATTGGTGTGGAGTTCTTCAGGTCTCACAGAATAAAAAATAATCTTTTCCCAATTGATTTTAGGGGTCCAACATCACAGATACGTGCACAGAAATGCTCCGAAGTGGACTACTATTTTTCAGGAAATATCCAAGAGAGGATATTTTTTCTTTTTGACAACCTTTTGGTTTACTGTAAAAAAAAGCACAGGTAAATGAATAATTTATACATTGAGAAAGAATGCATTTTTCTCACAGTAGAGCTAATTCTTTGTATGCTTTTTCATAAGAATATTTTAATAGCACCGAAGTGTTGACTGTAGTTAATTGCAGTATAAAAGTCAGCTTTTTTAGAGGAGAGTTATCATCCAAAGAGAAGTATGTTTAATTCAAACACTGGGGGGAAAAAAACCCCAAATGCAGAATCCAAATGGTGAAGCATGGGGAGAAAGAATCAGTTTTGCCAGTCTTCCACAACAGGTTATATGTGATGAACTCACTCTCTTCTGGGAATGGTAAACAGACTGAATTTTTAATTCAAACAAATTAGTATTGTAGCTTAAGCTATAAAATAAGTCTCTACAGATTCAAGAGTTTCAAGCCTTCTATTTCTAATCAGGGAAAACAGCCAGAAAGCTGCTGCTTGCTGCATTGCAAGAAAACAATTCCATAGTTCAGCAACAAGCTTCTGCAGTTACTGTTCAGTGCTCTTATGCTTCTGAGGAATAAGGGTTTTCTTAAATACAGGCATCCCTGTTGAAACTGTTTAAGGTTGTCTCTGATCCAGAAGCTGGTTTTGAGCAGCCACGGAATACATATTAACTAGGTAGACCCTTGATAGATTCCTAGATAGATGATAGACCTTGAGTGTTCTCTCTAATAGCACTGCCAAATACCATTATCTTTGCTTCTGCTTCTGCACATTTGTGGATGGTGTCAGAGGAAACTCCATCTTTGACCTTGGTGTCCAGTTTAGGAAACTGTCTGCAATTGCTGAAACTGTTGCTTCATAAATCCAGGTTCTACTGTCATCACCACAGCCATGTCCATCAGATCAGTGTGAGGGCTGTAAGATTTTCAAGGGTAGTTCCAGATTTGATAGGCAACTTTCATCCTGTTTTTCCAACTGTCTTTTAGCAGTGCCCTGGATTATCTGTAGCATCCAGGTAAAAGATGTATTTCTCTGCACCTATAATATCCATTTGTTTTGATCAGTGCTCTGGCTTGGCTGTGGACATGTGCCTGTTAAAGGATAGATCTTGATGGCAGACAGTGGCATATAGGTACCAAAGTGTTGGAACAGAGCTTGTATAGAGTGAGACTTTCTTGATAAATTGTCATGTCTGCCAGCAATTTGCTGCTTACTCTTAGCAGAGGTAGGATCTTTGCATTAGTATCAGTAGCGTCCCATTCAGCAATGGTTTCCACAGTTCAATAGCACATGTATAAATGTAATGTGATTCTTACTGTAGTCTTTAAATGCTACAGGTACAGGTCGTGATGCAGAAACATAATAAAAAGTGGTGGATGACATGTTCATTTGCACTTTCTTTTATCAGGCGATTGAAGAACAGCAAAGCATCTACAGACGGTCACCGTTACCTTTTTCGGGGCAGAATAAACACAGAAGTGATGGAGGTAGAGAATGTAGATGATGGAACAGGTGAGTATATTTGTGTTGCTCATTTACAGATCAGTCATTCAAGGTGCTGAAATCAAATGCAGCTTCATGATTTCTTTGAGAATGGAGGGTGCTCCTTGTACTTAGAAAGAGTAAGATGCCACGTTAAAAGCATCATGTGCTGATATCAAAGCTGAGCTTCTGTGACACATCATTGCTTTCATGCATTATTAGCTGGGCAGTCATAGATAACTGTTATACGCTAACATTAACAGAGTAATAAAATAAGGTGACATTTATTGCTCGACTGAAATGGTATATTTAACTTCAGTTAGCAGCATTCCAACACTTAAAGAGGTTATCCCTAGGTATGTGATATATTTGTAAAAGCAAATGGAAAAGTGAGCTCTGTTGGCATGAAACCTCAAGCACTATAAATGCTGAAATTGTAACACAAGAGTTTAAGAAAAAGGAAGTTATTTTAATACCATTAGGGATATAATCTACAATTGTTTGATTTTTTTTTTCTGATATACATGAGAAACGTAAAAGCTTGAAGTATTCCTGCAAATGTAATTTTTTGTTTCAGAAACTCTAGTTTAAACTTTGAGCTTAACAATTATGATTTCCTTATAATGAATAAAGAAAACCTGGAAACCTTGGGCTTTTTAATGTAAAACTGAAATAAAATAAAAAAAAAAAAAGAAACTTTAAAATTTGCATTGCAAATGTGCCAGTCTGAAGGAAATATCTATAACTTATGTATTATTTTCTTCTAATTTCAAAATAACATTAGTTTTGCCCTTCATCTACTATGGATTCCAAACATTTCTTAATGTAAGTTTCTAAAATGGAGCATTAATGACAAGGATCACACAGCTTAACTAAGCTTAATAGAAGTCGAATATTTCTTGAAAATCAAAATTTCTTTTTTTTCTAATCTTGACTTCCTTCTTTTCAAAATATTTCCTCACTTCTTGTTTTAGTGAATAGACTTGGAAAGTAGTTTGACTATTGTTCTTATTGCAATAAACTAATTTATTGGAAGACTGTTGTGTTTTTCTATGACCTCTTCTTTTCAAGTCTTTCAATCTTTTGTCGTGGGTTGTGTTTTCTAAATTTTTATTACTTTTTGTGTCCTTTGGAGCTTCAGGGTTTGGGTTTTTTTCTTCCCCAGTTTGTTTACATCTTTTGTATTTTGAGGTGTCCAGAGCCGAAACTTCACTGGGGCCAAGTACATCAGAATAATTATTGTAGTGCTGCATGTGGGGTGTCTATTACTAATCTCAGGATTACTTGGCTTTTCTGAGAGCATTATTTTTTAATTTTTCAGTTTGTGTTCCAGCATGCCACACCAGCTCCTTTTATGTAGTACTGTTGCCTTTCCCAATACATCTTACACTGTGTTAATGTCTGAGAGTAGGTTCTAATAGAATCATGGAATATCTCAAGTTGGAAAGGACCCATAAGAATCATCAAGTCCAACTCGCTGCTCCTCAGAGGACTAAATTTTACCTCACTCTCTTTTCTGTACTGAATTTTATCTTACTGTTTCCACAAATTATTAATCATATGGAACTTGCGTCTTGTTTCCCAAATCTCTTGCAATGCTTCTTGCCTTGTTTCCATGAACAATGTTATTACTGAATAATTTCAGCTCTTGATAAAACTAGTGGAAAATGGTGAACATGAGGTAGAGCACTGTGGTATCACACTTGAATGATTCTCATTGTTTGATAGACATGCTTTGTAGGAACTCCATGACATCTGTTTTGCGGTATGTCCTTCACCACGCCCACCAGTTTAGTTAATGGTTTAGACATATCTATATGTACACTGTAATGAACTTCATCAAGCCTTGATGACTTGAATACAGTTTATCTAATATTCTGTATCCTGCTATTTCATTTTCTGGCCTGTTTTTCTGCCACATTGTTTGTTTTATTTGTATGAAATCTCAGCACTTTGTTTATGCAAAAAAGAGAGCTAAGTGTTTCGGTTTTTCATGTCATGTATTATTTGACTACGTTTAATATATTTTGCTTCATCTTCCTTACATATGCTTTAGAAATAAAAGACAGCTTCTCCATTTAAATTATGTCACTTTCTAAGACAGCATCTCTTTACTTGTAACTCTTAACGTTACTGTGACCACAAAGGTGTACACCTACCGTCTTCTTTCTGATGAATATTCCAAAAAGTCTGTAGCTTTATTCTTTCACTGGTTCCAATACCACATATTGCCATGCTTTCAGTGTTGGCTTTAGCAGATATTTCTTCCTTCTTCCTTCCATGACTATCCTGTATTTCTCAAATCAGTCTCGTCTTTCTTCATTTGCTTGTTCTAGCTATCCAGTTCTGGATCACTTTCACATTGTCCATTTGCCTTCTTGTCCATTTACTTCCTCAATGAATCTTCAAGTATAATTTACTGTAGACCAATCATCTTCCGCTCCACTCCAGACATTTCCTTCAGTCACAGGAAATTTTGCTACTGTCTCCATTTCCTATAGCCTTGCAAACAGTACTGGGTGCTATCATACATCCTTCCTACTTGCTTTCCTGAGCTACATCAAATCTCGTCACTTTTATAAATGCAACACTTCTAAAATCCGTCCTCCTTTCCACACTTCTGGGACATCAGTTAATGGTTTGGTTATTTTGATCTCTACATTATTAGAGTGGTAGATGCCCCATCCTTGGACACACTGAAGGTCAGGTAGGATGGGACTCTGAGCAACTTGATGTATTTGAGGATGTCCCTGCTTGCTGGACTAGAATCATAGAATCACAGAATGGTTTGGGTTCAAAGGACCTTAAGATCATATAGTTCAAACTCCCCTGTCATGGGCAGGGACGCCTCACCCAAGACCATGTGACCCAAGGCTCTGTCCAACCTGGCCTTGAACACTGCCAGGGATGGAGCGTTTACCACTTCTTTGGGCAGCCTGTGCCAGTGCCTCACCACCCTCACAGAAAAGAACTTCCTTACATCTAACCTGAACTTCCCCTGTTTAAGTGATCTTTAAAGGTACATCCTGGTCCAAACTATTCTATGATTATTCTTACCTGGTTTGGTTTTTTTTTTGTGTTCCCCCATAGCCCCTCATTTTCCATCTTCTGTATTTCAGTTGGTCCAATATCCTGAAATATTTTTTATTGTAATAACTGCTATTTCATGCCTCCTTTCTCAGTTCTTTTTGAAATATGGAAATGTCTCTGTTATTTCCATGGCCTGTGGCACCTTTCTGTCCTTTTCTTGCCACCCTCTGCCACTTTAAATAACCAAACCTCCAAAAACCTGTTTTCCTTCCTTGTAGTCAAGAAATGTATTCCTTCTCCTCACGCTCGATACTTCTTTCACTGAGATCATGATGCCCTTCTTTAACCTTCCACTATCTTGGTTTTGTTACTGTTCTCATTTGTTGCACCCAGATGTCTTGTTTCTCATCCCCTGTAGTCATTCACAGTTGAACTCTAACCCAGTACTGTTCTGCTGTATTCTTTTTGTCTCATCTCATTCCCAAATGTAGTAATCTGATTGCCTGAGCCGATAGCTTTGCATGAGTCTTTTTTGGTATTGTATTATTTTATTTTCCTTAATCATCTAGTCCTATCACTTCCTATAATTCTTAATCTAGACTGGAGGCTCTGATTGGAGAGTGCGTATATTTTCATACCTATGCATGACTTTTTCTCATGTATTCTTCGTGGATCTCTTTATAGACATTAAAGACTTCTGACTGTAGATAATAGTTCCACAGTTCTTTACTGTAGATTTTTGGGGTCTTCTGCTCACTTGGTATAAGGAACCATAGGGCTCCAGGGAACAGGGTTACTGACAGTGTTTTCATTCAGCATTGATAGATGTAGGAATGTAGTCTTCCTTGTTTGTAAGTAGAAGCATAGAAACAGGAAAACAGATTCCCAGTGTGGTTTATTGTCATGCTAATGACATGCCTACAGAAATTAACAAAGTTTTTTCTGAAAAGCAATTTTTCTTTGATGAAATTAGGCCTTGGCTGAGCAGTACAGTTGGTGTAAGTTTGCTTTTTTGTTTCAACATCATGAAGCACTCTGCCTTTTTTTAATTGCATTGATTAAATTGGAATGCATTTTACTTATCAGGGCAGACTATTTGTCTTCTTAAAACAGTGTGGCTATACAGCCACTTGCAAGTAGTAGAAGGGTGGATATATTGTGATGGTATTGTTTTTTCTGTATTCAGATTTTTAAACTAAATTTTGAGAGAAAAATGTATTTTTAAAGGCATTCACCAGCCATTAAATGAATGTTAGTTTATGAAGACAAGCACTTGGGTCTTAGGAAATACCAGACTTATGGTTGCTTATACTATGTAAGTCCTGTCACTGTTGTCTTGAAATGAGGTGTGAATGATACAGAAAAAATACTACATGATAATAATAAACAGAGACTGCATCAAAAAGTATGCAGAGGAGGAAGGGAATTGATATTATGCAGCAGTTATTTCCTTGGTATTTCTGAGCACTGGGGCTCCTAAGAACCTAAAGTCTGAGAAGCTTGTATTTCAAAACATGTATTTCTGATTGGCTTTTTAAGGGAAGAAAAAAAAAATCTATTGTATGTGGCTGTAACAAATTGCTTTTCAGGCATCTCAAAGGCTTGAGTCTTGAATTTATATTCTGTATGTATTACAGCTCAAATGACAAGCTTTAATGTATTACCAAGCATCATTAGAAGATGATGTCATCTTTCATCACCTTTTGTTGGGAAGCTAGAGGCTTAATGATTTGTTAAGCACGCTTGTTCAGGCTTTGCATGGAGCAACTTGAAGTCTCATACTCTCCTTCCTTCTGTAACCACTATGTCAGGCTTGCAAATCATTTGTTTAGCCTGACTGGCAGCTGTGATTGCCTTGATGTGAAGAATGTGCATATATCCTGTGCAGCTGGCCATCTCTTGGCTGGCCTACCAGCACATCTGCAGCTCATGACCAGATTTTGTCCAAGAGCCAGTCCAAAGAAGGCATGAGTTTATATGGGATGATAGCATAAGGCTGAAATGCTCTTCAGGAGACCATGGACATGGGTGTATTCAGGTAAAAAAATTGCTTATGGGAGCCTTGGAGGATTGTAGTAACGGGGAACATGTGGAGAAAAAGAGACAACAGGGGTATTGCAGTTAAAGGCAGAGGTTAAAGGCTGGGCAACACAGGAGAGGGTTAGTATTGCAAAACTGGGTGATAGCTACCCATTTTCCTCGACCTGAACTTACTGCCATCTTTATACATAAGGCAGTCTTGCTACTTAGCTAGGTGATTGGGCTTTGTCACAGAACGTGACTTCGTAGTGGCATGAGATAAATATGGTCAAACTGCCAGCGCTTTTGGCCCTACAGTTACAGAACTTCAGATGCCAAGGAAGCTGAATGTTTGAAATGTCATCTCTACATTGGGATATTCAGGTGTCTGGATGAGACATTTTGTTCTGAATTAAACTACTAAGCCGGCACAGAATTTCTGTCCAGAGTGAATTGTGAGAACCTAAGTCCATTTGTGAGTCTGAACCATCATTTTTTATTTTTTTGGCCATAATTCTGTGACGGTTCACTGCATTAGGGATCATAATATTTGCTTACATGGGTGTTGTGATAATAGATACGTGGTAACAAAGACTACAAGTAAAATATCAGCCTTTACATGTTGTTTTATATGTATTAACCTCTATCTTAATGATAAAACAAAAAGGCACAGCTAGCACTATATTACAAGGTGTATATGTTTAAATAATACAAAGGGACATTAACCTTCCTTCCTCCAGTGCTCTTGCCTCTGATTTCCAAAGGTCTGCAGTCTGTCAGCTGAGAGCCTCTTTCTGAGGCTTCTTTCTTTTCCCTGACGTTTGACTCTGACTTTCTGACAGTGCATGAATGATGGCTAGTTTTCAAGAAACAGTGTTTTTGAAGGGGTGAAGTATATTATGCATAGGTTATGTGAATTGAAATATGATAAATAGGTAAGTGGTATAAACATGATACTGCAAAAAAACCTTACTTTTCCCCATCATAAACTTACTTGTGCTTTCTTACACACTTTGAGTACTAGAAAGTTTTGTTGGTTTAGAAATCAGCCATCAGTCTCATGATTTTTAGTAGTTCCTGACATTTCCCAGCCCAGTATACAAAGCTTGGCTGCTTTCCATCTAATTAAAATGCAGGGTTATTGAAAGGATGCTAGCATGTCTGCTGAGATTTATGATAAATCTTAGCAAGCATTTCAGCAAGGGCTTCAGTTTTGGAAAATCCCATCTCGTTGTACAAAATAGGGCTGAATTATGAAAAAGTATTTATAAGGTAAAAAGCTCTGTTGTTATTACAGTAGTTCAGGGCTGGCCCTAGGACTTTCTTGCGTCTTAATGAGTTTTTGGTGAGAAAATGTTGACCTTTGATTTCCTAATATTTGGTATGGTAGTTGGTAGTTCTACTTGTAATCTGTATTTTATGCAAAAAAAAAAATTGTTATCATGAGGCATTTATGCCTCACAAATTTTCCCCCAGTAAACGTGTGTAATCCTAGTGAAAGATATTCAAGGGTGTTAGTTTTGGAAAGGAAGTCTCTGTAGCTAATTTCCGAGTAAGATTTATAGAACAGCATTTTAAAATCAAATGTTACAGAAGTAAAGTAAGAATATCTGCTTACATGTCAAAAGGAAATTGTATTTTTCTCCCGTACGTTTAATCCTTTTTTAAAAATTGAACCGTAAATCATTCAGTCAGCATGGCAGCTCTTGAGTAATTTAACAGGCAAAACCACAATGCTGCTTTTAAAAGGAATTATTTATTACAGTTTAACATGAATAAAAGTACTCCAAGTACTGTTATCTGTTCTTTTAATAGGACTCTGCCTGTTTTAGTGTCAAGTTTATACCTTCTTCCATATGCTAGGCAATTCTCTGTCACATTTTAAAGAGAACATTATTTACTAAAAGTTACAAGTACAGCTTAAGTTACAACATAGTTCACAAGCAGCAGATAACTTTAAAGTAATTTTTATTCTTCTGTATTTCCTGATTTTTATGTGTAATGACAGAAGTTGTTAGTAATTGCAACAAATACTGCTTTTTAAAGAATTGATGCTCTTTACGCCATTTTATCTGTTCCCAGCTGACTATCACAGCAGTGGCCACACTGTTATTAATGGCTGGAAGATCCACAACACAGCAAAGAACAAATGGTTTGTATGCATGGCAAAAACCCCTGAAGAGAAGCAAGAATGGCTGGAAGCTATTTTGAAAGAGCGAGAGAGAAGAAAAGGTAGGTTAATAAACTTTATTGTGTTGCCTCACTAGAAAGCCATGCTGTATTTTTATATTGAGATGCAAAGCCAAACCAGCTGCCACGCAAACTTGTGGTGTCAGGTTCAGCTGAAAGTTTATGGATACTAGCTTGGAAAAAATAAATCAAACCTTGAACTGGGAAGGGCGTAGTGGCTTTAATCATGTATGCTGGTAGTGAATGCTGTTTTGTAAATGGGGATATGATTTAAGCTATGATTTTATTTTTTATTTTCAACTAGTATAAATAATCATAATTTCATTGAGGCCTGAGTACTGTTACGGTGTGTGGTAATTTGTATGCCTTGATTGCTTTTTCTGACTGGCCATTTGAATCACTGAAATGAGCAGGTTTTCTGTGTTGGATCTCCATGCAGATGATCCAGCATGAAGTGGTACAGAATATACCCTCAACCCCATCTTTGAGGTATTCTCCCCTACATAAGAAAGTAAGAAATTACAATTGGAAAGCCACTATCTTTTTGAATAACTGGATTAAGGTGGAAGAATACATGGATAAAATATAATCCTGCTCTGAAATGTGACCACTAATAACCTCATGTATTCAAGGTGAACCCAGCACAAAGTAGAACCAGGCAAAGATGACGCATCATCATCTTCTGGAGCTAATTTCATTTGCAAGCTTAAACATCTTAATCAGTAACAACATTTGTAGCCTTGGTATTGAAGGAAAATAAGATCTTGTAGTTAGATCTGGGTTTCTTTTCCTGGTCTGCATAGATGTTCTGTAGCCTGTTGCATTAGCCATTGTTTTGTGCGTCTGTCCTAAAGGAGACTAACAGTGCATTCTTTGGTCTTTTAAATTTGAATACTGGATGTTTGTAGAACATCTGCCATAGAACCAGAGTTTCAAGTAGGGTGTCTGAGCACTGGCAAATGAATAATGCCACCAGCAATTCATATAAAAGCTAAAAATATGCCTTAGATGTCAAAGAAACCCTCCATACTTTTTAAAATAACAATGAAAAAGCAGTGTGGTAGAGATGGTGTCAAATACAACAAGAAAGAGGTTTGTCTGCTTCTGTACAGGCCTTTGTCTGGACCTGACAAAAAGGCTTTTAACAAATCCCACTTCACTGCTCAGTTTCTTGGCTCCCTTACACTCTTGATACCTTTATGTAAGAAATGGAAAGAGTAAGTAGGAGTATTTTATGTTGATACATTCTTTTATTTCACACTATACCATCAAGCAGCTGGTAACAGAGGTAGGTTTGAGGTAAACCTTGCCAAGGGTGAGGTAGCCATCCCAAAGTCAAGCCATGTCTTAGGATTTTACCAGCCTATGATTTGGGGAAATTTTCAGCTCCTGGTGTTCTCAGTGGGTTTGCCACCAAGGAGACAACCATGAAAGGAAGAGGAGGGGATTTGGTACACACTTAGACTCAGCTTGCAACACAGAATCTTCAAAAATATTTCTTGAATGTCTCTGTTACTCTGTCGACTTAGAAATTTATCCACTTCCTCCAACACAGTGATTCGTGTTTTTTCAAAATATCAGTATAAACACCTCTTGCAAAGCAGGATGCATCAACTTAATTGCAGTCAAGTTGTCAAATGACTCGGGAACCAAACAGCTGTCTTTTTAGAATTCAAATTCTGTATCTAAATGTAGCTATAACACTTTCTCATTCACTGTGAACATAAAGATGCTTTAATTGTAGGTTTACTTAATAAGACATGGAGGCTGTTCATGTGTGTGTATATATAGGCAATTACACTGAAGCCCAAGTGGCTGCACATGTGAAAACAGTGTTTCATCTCCTTTGCAAGACTGAGACAAACTAAATCAAATCTATACTTTCAGAATTAAACAAGTGGCAGACTATTTCTCAGATGAAATATCTACAGTTACAGTTTTAAAAATGTGAAAATCTGAAAAGAAACTGAGAACATGTACATAAGACGTTATAGAAATCTGTAATTTTGTCCAGAACTAAAAATTGTTTGTTGAGAAAGTACATGGGATATGAAGGTCTGTGGTGTTTCTTGGAAGAACAAGCCTCTGCGTGTGGCTGGTAGGATGCACAATTCAACAAAACCTGGTCTTAATCGTCTGTTATTCAGAAAACAATGATTTTCTCGAGAAGCAAGAAAAAACCCCAGCCCAATAAAAATACTGAAATAAAACCCTTAATAGTTTTTATGTTGTTAAAAAAAATCTGAAGCAAATAGAAATGAAGTTGTGTATATTGTTTTGTGGAAAGGGGTGAATTAATCTTAGATGAAAGTAACAAATATATAACGGATAATTAGCTACTATTAGTAGGAAATTTGAAAAAGTTTTGTGTAAGTGAAAACATTTTTATTATCACATGGTAAGAGCAAAACCAAGGCCCTTTTCTTTTAAATTTGTGAAGACGTTACTGTTCCCTTGGAAATATTCATATGCTGAAGTCTGAAAATCACAGCATTAGTATTTATTACAATAATATCAGTGGTTATGTCAATATAGTAACAGTTTAACTTCGCTATGAGGAACTAAAAGATATAATTTGATTTTGCTTTATGAAGATCAGATGTTCATGGTTTAACTTGATTGTGAGAAAAATAATGGAAAGCAGTTCCTTTACCTTTTCTTTGTATGTAAAATATTGGTATTGCTTCTCCATTTTAGGGAAAGTACTGAAATATAGTGGCAATATCACTTCATAAAACTTTAATGCATTTTTGGCAGGTTTAAAATTGGGTATGGAACAGGACACTTGGGTGATGATCTCTGAGCAAGGAGAACGACTCTACAAAATGATGTGCAAACAAGGGAATCTCATCAAAGACAGGAAGAGGAAATTAACCACTTTCCCCAAATGCTTTCTTGGAAGGTATTATATGCATTTGATAGCATGCTTTTTTACCTGCTAAACTCACATTTTAAATCTTCTTTGGGATTCTGCAGAAACCACACTTTATTTGTAGTGTCTGTTAGGCCTATTTGCCTCCTAGAATTTAGCCAAAATGTAAATTGGTTTGCCTAAAATTTATGGATGTGCACTCATGTTCCAAAATAGCTTTATTAAGCGGACAAGACTGTAAAGGCTTGTTGAAAATATGAGAATGCATCAAATAAAATAGTTTCTTTAAAGAAATAATTCCCAACTTGTTTAATGCATTTTGTCTCTGAAATACTTAGAATATCAAATTTGATTTATTCCACTTAAAAAACATCTTTGTCTCTAAAACTGTTTCTGTCCTCCTCTTGCCTAACTAAAATTTACATGTTTAAAAATGTATTCCTATTATCAGGATGATCTTTCTAATGACATATTATACCTATGACTTAAGAAGACTGAATGCAAGAGAAAGAGAAAGCAATAGGTACCGTAAAAATGTGCGTGTGACAACAAAATTAGTTGGGGAGGTGGAGGAGTTACGAGTTATTTTATCTGACTGTAAGATAGTTAAGTCTGGAAAGTATTTCTATAAAGTACAGTGACGGGTTTGCACAGACACACTGTAGTGAAGACCACTGGGTTCAAAAGTGGAAATGTACTTGGGAGATTTTCATATGCTGTCAGAAGTCACATAGCTGATGAGAATTGAAACCAGGATTAAGATTAATGATTGAATTGAGGTTGAATCATGTTTCCTCACTCAAGTTCCATGATTCTATTCATCAGGGACTGTAGTCATAGGACAAGGGGGAGTGGGTTCAAACTTAAACAGAGGAAGTTTAGGTTAGATATAAGGAAGAAGTTCTTTACTGTGAGGGTGGTGAGGCACTGGAATGCGTTGCCCAAGGAAGTTGTGAATGCTGCATCCCTGGTGGTGTTGAAGGCCAGGTTGGATGGAGTCTTGGGTGACATGGCTGAGTGTTAGGTGTCCCTGCTCATGGCAGGGGGGTTGGAACTAGATGATCTTAAGGTCCTTTCCACCCCTAACTATTCTATGATTCTATGAAGTTGTTGGAAGCAGGTAAAGAGAAGTCATGTGTGAAACATTTGAATCTACCATCAAATGGCTTCTCTTCTGTGCTATATTTGAAGTAAACCCTTTTGAAGTATGCTTTTGCTGGTCCTTGGGTCACCAGTCAAAACCCATGACTGTGCATGTTGCGCTACCTCACTATGCTGTCCTTTAGATTTGTAACACACATGCAAATAACTTATGTGCTATAAATTCGATACAAGCCAGGCATTTCCTGCAATGCAGTATATACTTCGTATGTGTGCTCAGGATGTGTCTTACACAGCTTGGAAATAATAATTCTATTATACCGTGGTAATGTTCTGACTTCATGGCATATCTATTCTGGGCAAATGCAGTAGCTATGCCTGGGATTGGCTTATATTTGACCGTCTGGTCAAATGTGGCTGTGATAATGTAGGAAATCCCAGAAAACATGAGAGTCTTTAACATATGCAAGGTAAACCATGCAGGTAAAACTGAGCAGAAAAGACATCTGAAGGGAAACCATATGTATTTATGTCAAAATAATACTAAAGAGTTGAAATGAGAGAGTTTTTAAAGGTGGTATGACATTCTAAAGATCATTAGGCTTAAGAATCACTACCTAATATGGTAAGAAACACTAGTAATTGAGTGGAAAATGTAGTATGTCTGGTAGTATGACTTCTAAAGTTTGGGGTTTTCTTTTGTATCTGTTTTTATTTCAGTGAATTTGTGTCCTGGTTGTTGGAAATCGGAGAGATACACAAATCTGAAGAAGGTGTTCATCTTGGCCAAGCTTTGTTAGAGAATGGCATTATCCATCATGGTAAATATAGTTAGCTTTAACTTACTTGTTTTCAATGTAATGATTGTAATTAGAGTGGACTTAATTTTGTTTGACAAAAAGATGGGTCTTATTAAGGCAAGACAGTTTGTTGAATCTGCATTATATCCTTGCAGGGACCTCATGGGACCATTGTCCATGCCTAGCAGATTTACTGCGAGAGGCTCCATTAATTTAATCAGATTACATTTATGGTGTTGGGAGCACAATATCACAAACAGGGACTTACAGAAACACTACTTTTCTCTTGTAAGCAAAAATAAATTCTGTGGGAACAGAGAACTGCTTGTAAGGATTTAAACCTTTTATTAAGGCCAGGTGTTTTAGGGATACATGTTGAACTAAGAATTGTAGAAGAGAGTGAGTCACAGTTGCCTGTTGATAAGTATGCCTGCTTATGTGTTAGGCATTACAAGTGGAGCTGGTGGAATCTAACCTGGAACCCAACAGTTTAATCTTTTGAATGTTAAGGCCTTATTTTCACTACGTTGTATAGTTACTAAAATTGATATTTTTATGCTGAAATACATTTTAATTCTTCTGTACTTCAGCCAGCAATGAATTTTTAAGTTCTTTGCCATGATGTTTTCAGTGACCTTGACTGAAAAGAAAGCAGGAGTAATAGAGTGCCACTTAGCTGTGTGCATTTTAACATACGCAAAGTAGGAGGAAAAATGTTAAGATTATACATCAGTAGTCATGTAGTCTTTAATTCTTTAATGTCAGTCTACATGATTTTCCTCCACCATCATTCAAATGTCAGATGCTATTATGTTTACTACACACAGAGAATTGTTTTCAATCGAATGATTCTGTTGCCAAAGATTCTTCTCCTGATCTTGTAATTTATATCCCAAATACACCCATAGACTTTGACAATAGAGAGTTAAATGAATATTGTGTAATTTCATGAGATAAAAGAGTAATTATATTAGAGCATAGAAATGTGAGCCAGACATGCCACTCTGAATAGTGGATCCAGCTGTGGTTCAGTGAAAATAGAATTCTTAAAATAAAGTTGAATGAACCATCTGTTTTCACAGAGGGAGCAAGGGAGAAAGAAAGTTTGGCTGTTATTTACATTGCAAATGTTACAGAGGGCTTTGTTAAACTTCGCATATTCACTCTTCTGGACATTATTTTCACTGTGCCGGGCTTCATTCTAGCAAGGATAGAACCATGTTGTATGGGCATTGTTTTAGTTCCTGGTGTGTGAACTCTTGCAAGTACAAAAGTTGGTTGGTTGGTTGTTTTTTTTTTTTACTTTTGTTTTGTTTTGTATTTCTCTTCTCCGGTTTTGCAAAAGGGAAAGATCCATTTATCTGTTGCTATTTTAAATCCACCTGATGGCATTTCTTTAATATCTGAAATGACTTATATCAGCCAACAGGCTGAGATGTTTTGTCCAGTCACTTGCCACTGATCATTAGATGGAAGCTTCCTCTCAAGGCAGTAAGGAGCTTAGTAGTTACAAAAATAATCTGGATATCAGATAGTTATAAAATGAATAGGTATTTACATAGCTACGCAGGTTCTTGGACTGATGTACTGATCTGAGTCAAAACTACCCTGGCCCAAAAAGGTTAGAAAAAAACAGTTTAAACCTGGATTAGTTCCCTTTTCTTAGTCTGTGACATATAAATGTCTATCCCAACACAAAATATAGGTACGTTGTTGGGAATGACACACAAAACAACTTGGGGTTCCTTATTTTAATGGTAGTGCAGCCTTTTATTAGCTTTAAGTGATGGCTCTGTGGACCTGTTCCCTTAGTTTCTGGTGCACTCTGTGGAAGTAGGCACTGCAAAGCCAGTGATGCATGTGTTCGTTCCTCAGAGGGCATGGCCTGCTCTGTTTGTCGTTGGCATGCAAGAAAGGAAAGGTGCTTTGTAGTCCTGGTTCCCTCTCGGCACATCGCTGTAACAGTGACAAACAATTTGGCCTTAAGCAATACTGTCCTGGTGGTAATTTTTCTATTTTATGTAGTTGCTGGTTTAAAAAAACTCTTACTGTGTGTTGATACAGTAGAATGTATCTTTTTCTTCAACAGTATGGTTGATTTATTTTTTTTATATCACGGAACTAGAAGATATCTCTTTTTCCTGAGTCAAAATGGTCAAAGTCCATTAACATTCAGTTAGATACTCATACTAGGCATTATATGTGAAAATCTTGTAGTCTTTATCTGATGTATTGAGAATCAATGATATGTAAAAGAACTTCATGGTTATTTTGGATAACCACATTAGTGTGAACCATCAGTTCAGGGCAATTGGAATAGTGTCCTGGGCTTACTATTAGTAGATCTATCAAATATAGGTAGAGAAGTTATTTTGCTCTTGCATGTGGCACTGGTGAAACCACTTAATATCTGAAGTCCAGTTTTTGTGTCTGTGCATCAGATGATGTGTGGAGATACTGAAGAGCCTGGAAGCGGCATGAAAAACAATGCAGACAGAAGGCACCTTACTGTTCAAAGTTTATGACGACTAACTAAATTTTTTGAGGAAAATAATGTATGATTGTTTAATCACTTGGTGTAGGAGGGCATGCACAGAAGCATTACCTACCACAGTCAGGCCTGTTACTCTGATTAATGAAGACATTACAGTACTCTCTCCTTTATCAATTGATGATGAGCAAATTTAGTTTCAAAATTAAAACTTACATCTGCAAGCAAAACAGCAATTAATACAAGATAGTTATGATAGGATGGTGCTAGTGCATATGCTGTCCTCAACCATCAAATAAATCAGCTGGTTTTCAGGAAAACTTGCTGTTTCCAGGAGTTTTGTATAACGTGCTATGACTATTTTGACAGAACACTTGGAAGTTGTGAGGTTTGTTGCTGGAATATTGTGGATTTCTGGAAATTCATCTGTTAAGATCCTTTTTCACAAGTCTTTGGGGAAATTGACTGTCAACACCTTCAAAATGATTGCTGGTCTTTTGCACTTAAGACCTTCAGCTGGCTATATATAGAGGGAGATGTTCCCTCTCTTGTTCCTCCCCAGTGCATGACTGGTGACATGTGTATCTTTACTGACTAATCTGAGATTTGCCTTCACAAGAATTAAAACAGAGAATCATGTGGAACAATAATACAAATAGTTGCAAGAGAAGCCTTACTTGGCTATTTGGTTGATAAAGCTTGGCAGAAGTGATGAAAATTAGAAAGACTTGAGTACCTGTTTTTTCAGGCTATTCCCTGTCTCTTTGCCTTCCTTAATTCTTTGCCCCGTGAGTTGAAATTGGTTTGTTCTGGACTACTTTGACATTGTGAGGAATGTCATCACCAGTGACATAAAGGAATTTATGGCAAATGATCTAACTAGGCTTTCTGACCTCCCTGTCTGAAATCAACCTGTTGCTGTGTAGTTGGCTGTTATTAGATGAAATTATTCTGGCCCACTTCTTTCTTCTTTATTTCTTCAGAAAGTCATCTAACAATAAATTATTATTTTAATTTTAATTTTA